GCAACCCCCAGAGCTACACAGCTGCAATGCCCAACACTGGTGGCACGCCAGGATGCAGTGCCACCTGCGAGGTGCTGCTATGCTCCAGGCCTCACAGTGCCGCTCATGGGAGTCCACCCTGCACCCAAAGATGTCCAGATGGAAGCAGGATCAGGCCTTGGGGTTGCACAGGAGCACAGGACAAGGAGCGTGCATGTCTTGTGGCTGCATACAGTCCGAGGTGCATGGCAACGGCAGCACGGAGGGAACTAACTCCTACAAACACTAGGTACGATACATGTATCTGCACGGGAAAGGAGTGCTGGTCCTCAGCGTGCCCCTGAGCAACCCGTCTCTTCGTGCTTATGCAGCAGCGACATTCGGGAGAAAGTCCGGGAGCAGGTTTTGCACTGGTACTTCTTTACATCTGAATGCGTCTGCAGGTGGGCGCGCAGATTAGAGCGGTCAGCAAAGGCCCGGTTGCAATGTGTACAGGAAAAAGGCTTTTCACCTATGAGACAAAGAGAAACGTTCCCAATTAACCACTGCATCAACACATGGGGAATATCAAAGAACAAGCCATTTATTAGCCAGCAATCGTATGAAAAGGAGTGCTCGCAGCATTACTGGGATGGATGGAAAGCGGCGCGGGAAGGCCTGCATTCACCGAGCAACGCCTCCAGTTTGGGAATTTCCTACTCAAAAAAATCCCTGATGCCAGAACCATCTGCAAGAAGCAGGGCAGCTCCCGCACAGCGAGGCCCTGCCACGGTGTCACAGCGTTAGGGCTGAGCACAGCCATTTCCTCCCCCAAACCCTGTACTCCCCCTTCTCCTTCCTGGAGGCATTGAAAGGCCCTGGCCAGGCTGAATTCCTCTCGACTCTTTTGGAGGAAAAGAATGTGCATGCTCAATTTGGAAAGCACAATCAAGCCTTGCCAGCTTCCTTCAGCCATCATCTTTAGTACTCTGAGAGGGTACAAAATTAGTGCCAAGGAACCATTACACCATCCCAACAGCACCACAAAAGATGCTCGAGAGATGCTTTGTGGGCATGAGGAGCGTAGCAGCTGCGCATGGCCCCAAACAACAACAGGTGCATCAGGCAGCTGCCAACACCTGCCTGTAACTCTGGGACCATGAGTTGCAGAGCTATGGGTGATGCCAGGTGCCGTGGCCCTGGGGCAGAGGCCATGGTGGTGAGCAGCAGGTCTCTGAGCATGGAGCTGCACAGGACCAAGCATCCCAGCACAGCACAACAGCCCCAGCTTCGAGGCACACATTCCCAAGCTGTGTCTTTACTCCACAGTCAGTTCCAACTAGAACATTTAAAGAGACATGCCAAGGGAGTTTGGGAAGCCTATATCTTCCAAGATAATAGCATGGCAACTGGTTTGCTCTGGGCTAGGAGCAGGGAATCGATAAGGGTGGGAGGAGGGCTGAGTAGCATTGTTACCAGTGTGCGTGCGGATGTGGCCCTGCAGCAACCAGGGCCGGGAGAAGGCCTTGCCGCACATCTTGCAGACACAGGGCAGCGTGTGGCTCCGGATGTGCATCTTGAGAGCCCCCAGGCTCACGTACTCCTTCTCGCAGTACTTGCAGCTGAAGGATTTCCTGGTCTGAACATCGCAGTGCAATTGCTTGTGCTTGGAGAGCCCAGCGAAGGTGGAGTAGGCCTTGGCGCACTGGGCACAGCGGAACCGCTCAGCAGCAGAAGGGGCTGAGGCTGGGCTGGGTGGCCCTGAGCTCTTGCCCTCATCCTCCTCACTAGAGAGTGTCGTCAATTCCAGCGCTGGTGCCGCACCACCTGCTGCCTCTGCCTCGGTGCCCAGGCCAGCTGGGAAAAGGCTAGAGAGCAGACCAGCATCCCACACCAGCGGCGGGTAATAGGCCCCAGGGCCCAGCACTTCGGGTGGAGGGATGACAGACAACGCACACGTCTCATACAGCAGCGGGGCAGCAAACACTGTAGGCAATAGGTAGCACTCAGTGGAGCACTCACCCCATAAGAACAAGGGGCGTAAGGACCCCAATCCACCCCACTGGTAACAAGGGGACTCCGACCTGTCACGTTAGGAATGGGGGGCAAAGGAATCCTAGTCTGTCCCACCGAAAATGGACGGGATGAACTCACCCGAATGGGAACAGGAATGGGGGTACACGGAGACCTCAACCCACCCCACAGTGGGCTCTGCGCCCACGGGAACAGGGTGCTCGAACCCACACCACGCCCCAGCCCAAGGCAAAGGGACTCAACCGCATCCCACAGCCACCCCATGCCCCAACGCACCCCGGAGCCAGAAAGACACGGGGACCCCAAACCGACCCCAAGAATCCCAAGTCCACCCTGCGGAGCACTCACTGCCCACCCCGGGGCAACACGGAATCACTGCATAGAGCGAGGCGCCCCGCTCACCGCGGCGCCGAGGGACGGTGGAAAGATCACCGCTCACCCCAAGGGTCTCTGCCTACCCCGGGGCACTACGCAGCCGCTCCGCTCCTCCGCCCACCCCCGCGGGACGCTCCTCGCGGTAACAGAGAAACGAACTAAAAATCCCACAGCCGCGCGGAAGGGCAGCGCACCGCTCCGCTGCGGCAGGGAGAGGAAGGGCAGCCCGCACCCGCGAGACAGCTCGGCTCGGCACGCACCGGTCTGGCTCTCCAACTCGCTGTAGTTGGGCTTCTTGCTGGCCGAGAAGTGCTTCTTCACCAGGAACGAGCGCGGCATCGTGCTTGCCCGGCGCCACCGCCCGCTGCGGAACCTCCGCCTCTCAGTGTCCGTTAATATGGGCCCGGGCTGTACAGGGGGGCGAGGAGGGCGGTGCGGGGCCGCCCCCCGTGCCCAGAGCCAATGGGGCGGGCGGGGCGGGCAGACTACAGGTGCCGGCACCGGGCATAGCAGCTCCTGGCTGGGGAGCATCTGCTGGAAAGGGGTGCGGAGCTCGGATTTCTGGTCCGGAGCCCTCCCGGTCCTCCCCCACCGCTCCGTCCTCTTGGGTTCACAGCCGCCTTCACTTCCCCGGCGTTGCCAGCGGGGGGGGGGGGGGGGGGGTACGCGGAGCTCTCCGGGGGGGTCTCGACTCCACGCTCGGCGCCAGCCTGCTCGGCGGCAACCTCGAACGCAGAAGTGGGAAGCGCGGCAATACGGCCCGAGGCTGCAGCTCGGGGGCGGCCGCTCCCCGTCTCGAGAGGAGGCGGTCGGCAAATCCTCCCGAGCCCCGCGCTGCGCGGCCCGGACCTGCCACGTTCCTCCTTTGCTGCTCGTCGTCGTCGCGGGCTGCCCGCAGGCGCTTCTCCCCGCCTCTCCCCAAAGCAGGGTGAATGTGCTCCCCAGGGCCGGAGCCGGCGGGGACAGCCCGGATCAGCCGGGCCTGGCGCCGCCTCCCGGCGGGCCGAGTTCTCCCCCTGCCGGCAGCCGGGGCGGACCGCGGGAGACGCCCTCAGCCGCGACCCGTACGAAGCAGTGCCCGAAGGTGCTCCCTGACGGCCTCTTCGGATAAAAAGTCACGGCCACCGCGCTAACAATCGGGGGAGGAGGCCATCGCTCAGCTGGCTGCCACTCACGCGCTACCGCGCTGCTTTGCAGCTGCTTCAGAAACCAAAGCACTTTTATTCTCCTGACCCCGTTTACCTCAATCCTTTTTATCTTCTCAAGTCTTTTGCTGCAAACAAGCATAAGAAAACAACTTTGAAAACAACAGCTGAGTTTCTGAAGGCTGCCTGGAGCTGGCAAGAAATACCTGCATAGACCCCAAACTTCTGACCATGAGAGATGAATCCTTACACCCACCTCACCAGGGAGCATCCATGTCTGCCAGAATCCCTGCAATAAATCCGCTGGGCTTTGCTTTGAGGACTCAGGACAGTTATCGACAAGCAGGCCCCAGGAGTACCCAGCATTAACCCACACTTAATGTATTATTACAGAGTCCTTTACAAGATGGGATCAACTGCTGTAATTCCAGGTGAAGTTATGCCAATTGCTTTAGGCATTTAATACTGACATCAATTTATCTGCCTGATTAAAGCCAGTCTTTGACCAGAGGCAGATTCATAGGAAAAACAAAACAAAAACCAACAAACCCTCAAACACATGCTTGTCTCTGCCCATTCTGTACCCCTTTCTATGTGCTGATTTCCCTAATTCCCAGTGCTAGACACTAGGAATTTCACAGGTTGAAGGCAGCCTGACTGCATTATCACTAGCAGTGGGCCATTATTATTAGCAGTGGGACTTGCTGCAGCTGCAAGATCAGCTGCTGACAAGGTGGTAGCAGCCCTTCTGGCAGCGTTTCGTTCTCCTGCAGTGGTACTTTACCAGGTTCTGAAACCAGAATTAGCTTGTTCTGTAACAATCCTTTTTTGGAATGATGAGTTTCTGCATACAGATGAGATAAATCAAGGTTAAGCATGTGTCTCTCACCAGTGTCTTCAAATTAATGAGCAAATACCACTGAGACACATCACCGTTTGTAAACAAGCTTGTTAAGTTGATGAAGTCAGCAGCACAGAGATACTAAGCTCATCAGCACTTAAGTGGAAAACTACAGCTCAACTTCTGAGTGCCTGTATGGATGCTTATCACTGCACAGATAGCAGTGCTATAAATTCCACTGTTAAAAGCTAGGAGGTGCCAGAACTTCACTCATTACTCATTCACGGATTTAATCAAAATTCAAGTAGATCTGGTGTGCATTTTCCAGTTTGCGTTTGTCCCATGCGTGAAATAATTCCTCGTAAGTTGAAGCAAATCAAAGCCAAGATGCACAGTCAATGAGCAGGTCCATACAGACAAGGTATGATCATAAGGCCTGAAAAAACGTTTCTCATCCTTCAGGGCTGCAAGACAATCCCCACCTTCCGGTTTCACAGGCAAAGGAAACAAAGCCGAAGTCTGTCTGTTTCTTTCCCAGTTTCTGGCATGCTCCCTGGAGCTCTACATAGCATTAAGAACTGTTTTGGAGAGATGTGAAACAAAGTGTACAGATTATGAGGAAGAAATGACAGAAGCTGACATGAAGATAGAATTTTATAAATTAAATGAACTTTATTTATAACTTGTCTTCAAAATTCAAAAAACACAAAGTAATTGCTCAGAAGCTTCTAACTGCTCCTTAAACATTTAATCTAAATTGCATGGAAGTGCACTTCAAATAGCAGCAGAAATCTAGATTTAGGTCAATTTGCACCACAAAACTCCATCCTAGCCAGAACCTAGAAATCTCCACTCAACCACCAACATAGTCATCTTTTCACAGATCAAGTGTTAGAAATAACCAACTCCAAAACAAAGTACTTTTTCCCACAGTGCCATGAGTATTTTTGCTAAGACTGAAACTCTGTTCACCAAGCAGATACTTAAGGCTGAGTCTATAAGTAGCCTATTCCAAGTTTGGGAAAACATACTAAAAACAAGCTAAATAGGTTAGAGGTCTTGCTGAACACAAAGTTTAGTTGAGATTTTAGCTGGGGTACATTTAATAAGGGTAAGGCTATGCTGTGTCTGCAGGGTATGAAGTGAAAGGTATTTGCAGGGTATTTGTGAAAGAAACTAACTAGTACTCTATTCTGTGGTGGTACAGGTCCACTGCTCCAATTAAGTATGCCAAGTTGAATTACACTACTCTGGTTTACAGCTTCTGCTCAGGTGTCTCAGATGGCTAGATCTCAGCATCATGATTGTGAAGTGTTAAAAGGAAGCTCTATAGTGAAAGTGTATAATTGAATATCAAGTATCCGTTTTCCATGTAAGGGAACAGTCATCCTGCTTTCTTGTTTATATTTTACTTTTTCTTTGAAAGCTATACCTGCATACTATATATATATAATACATGGAAAACACAATCTAAGCATAGCTTTAGCAACATTTAAATGAAGAACGTAAATTCAAAATACTTCTTAAAATCTGTGATGCGGAAAGGTAGAGCTGTGCAAGTGCCATGGAATCTAAGATTTGCTTCCAGTTTGCCGTGAGAGATGGAACAATTAAAAATAAATACATTTAAACAAAAATTTTCATAGAAGGTGGAGATACTGATTTTTTTTCTGAACTCTCTTATGAGCATAATGCTTAAGAAGCCTAGAAAACCAATTTCTGAAAACACTAATTGAATCACAAAGTCAGCAGATATGATTGATATTTGCTTTAGCAATTGAACTAACACAAAAGATCTATTTTCTAGGCTTGAAATTATGGTCAAAGTGTGGAACAAAATAATAATCAGGCGTAGAACTAAAATACTTTGAACTAGTTTCTTACCTAGCTGCAAACATCTACTAAGAAAAACTGTAGTTTGAAGACTCATACTAAAAACTTGTTTTCCATGTAACTGAGAGAACGCCTGTAAGAGTTCAAATACTGCTAAACATGAAATCACAGGCAGAGGCCACTTTGAATAAGAACTGATCTGACAGTTACAACTAGCACCTAGAGGTCTCACTTAAGAAAAATACATACCAATACACCTCTTATACTATCACTTAAGAAATGTAAACAACATTAGGAGGTCCAACTAGTTTGGACCATTCAGTCTGGAATATTTCTGCATTTAGAGTCAAATGAACACAACTGGAAAAAATAACTCATCAGAAAACAGGCATAGGTGAAGGGAAGTAAGTCAGCATGGAGGAGACTTCTAATTGAGCTTTGTGTGAAGCAAATAAGAAAATTAAACTTACGTGGTTAACAGAAGACCCAATGATACAAACATATCAAACAGGAATTTGAAACCAAGACAGATTAAAAAGTCTTCCATATTTCTGGATGCCTGAGCTCATCTTGGGATGTACAGGGTGAAGTGCAAGGATGCTGGGCGCTTCCCCCCCCCATGGAAGCTTGGTTTGACAGTTAGTCTTTCACATTTTAAAATTTTATTTATCCCGCAAAGAACGCATCAAAACCTGTGCCATCATATCATCTTCATCAGCATCATAATCCTATGAACAAAAGGTACAGAAATTCTTTTACTGCAACAGCCATGGTGGTTAATCTAACACAAAATAAAAACAGAAAACAGCTGCCTCATCTTCTAACTTGCCAATAATCCAATTTGTCTCATGATACCATCTGCATAAATTGGATTTCATAGTAGCGACTATGTAAAAAGTTGTTTTAAGAGTCGTCAGGCTCATGTACTCCAAGGGTGAGAAAACACATACCACAAAAGTATCATATGAAAACCGGTGTCGTCTTTGAAGGTGCTCCATGAAGTTAGCACTCCTGTAATTTGGATCTCCCCATGGCATTGAGGCACAAATTGGGCAAACCTTGAAGAAAAAATTAAAAGTCAGTTAGGCCCCAACAGTTAAACGTGTTAACATTTATACTATGAAGGGCAGAAGAGACAGTGACTGAAGTCTGAGATTTGTAACAATCACTACACTCTAAGAAAAGTGATGTCAAACACTTTACTGGGCCATTCAACATTCAGGTTTAACAGAGGCTTTTATTTAAATTAATTTCCTATGCCTCTGAATGAGAATGGTTTATTCTTCTCTCCACATACTGCTGATGAGAATCAATCACTGCTGTTTGCCTCAGAAGATCTCAAACTCCATTAATCATTAACAAAGTTGTTTTCTTGGTCATCTTCACAAAGATCACTTCTCCCCAAGATTTTTTTTTTTCCTAAATAAATTCCAAATTCCTAAGAACTTTAAAAACAAATGAAGGTTTCCAATTCAGTTCCAAGTTTTGCAATACCTTTTTATAGAAAATGGAGTATAATTTGGAGTATAATTGGGAGATATAAACTACCAAAAATAGAGACTTTTTTTTTCCCCAATCAATATTCACAATAGTTTATAATATTTTATTGCTGAGAATAGCAGAGGGGAAATTAATGCTTTTTTTTTTTTAATACATTGCATTAATTTTATCCCTGTTACTGTGCCTATAGTACTTTGAATGCCTACCGTTTTTCAAATATGAGGTGCATGTGAAGTAGATGTAAACTGACTTTAATAGAAGCAAGTATAAATACATACTTAACTTCAAGCAGTAAGTCTCTAATTCACTGTTTCAAGGGGATTTAAGACTAGACTTCATTGCAATTCTTGCACCAAGACTTTTTATTACCACTTGTCTTGCATCCATGCTGTGCAATGTTTTGCAGTGTTCAACTAGTCCTTCTTGATCAAAGTTTTTCTCACTGCAGTACGGACAAGGAAAGGTAAAGCGATTTGGGAAGTTCCTGGTTCAGGGGGAAAAAGATGAGATATGTTGTCATATTAGTTAAGTTAAAAGCACCAAAAAAAAAAAAAAATTCTATCTTTTTAGAATAGTATAAAAGGCTTTGAATTTGCTACCTGGAAGTTATCTTACTAGCGACTAAGAGTAAAAATTATTCAAAACAGTAATTTTATTCCATGCAATCAAGACAAACAAATTTAAAGAATCATCTTTTAAATTCTTAATGACATCTTATGTAAATCTTCACATCATAAACTTCTACACAAAGGTATTTCTTCAAAAAATGTTATAAATGCCATTTATCACCTTCTTATATTTTTTACGTTTTTAAACGCACAGGGTATCAATCACCCAGAACGCTAAAATGCCGATCAGTGCGATGCAGTCAGCTCCACATTCCCTTTGATATAAGTTACTACAATCAAGAGACAGAAAGACAGCTATTATTAAATAAGGAGCTGCTTGTATCAAGTACTCCAATCTTGTCTTGTGCAAAGACTGCATAGAGAAGGAGAATAGTTTGCTTAGGTGCACTCAGTTGCAGGATTGTGGCCTATTCTTACAGCGTGAAACATTAATAAACAAACTAAGGAATGACGGAAAGTCTGCTTTTACAGCAAAATTATAGTTTGCACGAAACGCCATAACACAGTGTTGGCTTTGTTTTGCCTTTTTGTTTGTTTACATAAAAGGCCTCTTCTCAGAAGTGGAATCAAATTTGAGATTTTGTATGGATTATTTGGTAATAGTCCTCTTTTTGTGATCCTAAGTATGAGTATTTCCAGAGAAGAGCTACTTACCTGGTGTTGTGAAGTGGTTCTTTAGTTACAGCTTTCACACCTTCCATTATGTAATTCTGGTACTTTGAACAGGAGGCTGCATGGCTGCGCATCTTTGAGAGGAACATCTGCTTAGACAACAATCACACAGCAGTTACACTATTTGCAGCAGGACTACACACAAAGTCTTCTGTAGCCAGTGCTACAGCAGGAAGAAATACGTATTTCAGCTGGTGAGCTGGAAAGCTTTGAGATTACAAATTAGTTAATGTATAACTGCTGCCTGTAATATTTTACAAATACAACACTGTTCCATTGTACTTATCTTCACCTATACTCCAGTACCAGAAAATATTCTTATACGAAGCCAGCTTATGTTGTTACTGAGAAGAGATGACATGGGAAATAATTTAGCTTTCTGTACATACTGTGACATAGGTTTAAATACAAACTTTCTTAATTTGAACTTTCATTAGTAGGACTTAACAATTGATAATCAAGGTACTACAGCTATCTATCAGCCACAACGATGAAAATAGCACTATCCAGAAATAGTGAAATTAATGCAACACCTCAGTATTGGCTACCAAACCAAACGCTTTGGGAAGCTTTGAAGAACCTATAGAAAACAGAGCAGGATCCGCATCCCCGCGGGGCGCAGTTACAGCACATCGCACCCGCCTCAGCCCTCCCAGCTCTTCGCCGGGTCCCACCTTCTTGCCGCAGCCGCTGCAGGCAGTCTCGGTGCTCTCTATCAGCTGCTCCAGGTCCAGCGCCCTGCTGCCGGCTGCCAGCGCGCCGCGGCACACACCACACACAGGCTTCTTCGGCTTCAGGCACTCCTGCAGACACGGCGTGCAGAACCTACGCCGGGACAAGGACACAATGAGAACAGCCCAGGGTCTCCGCGCCTTTCCCGTGCGGTACGGAGCGGCGGTCCCGTGCGCTGCTCTCAGTCCTACGGGCCGAGAGGGCCCCGCGCGGCCTCCCTCCTCGCCCGCACTCCTCCTTAGGCCGCTCACACGTGTCCGCAGGGCACCCGGACGGGACTGTCGAACACCTCAAGGCACACAGGGCAGGTGAGGCGCGCCAGCAGGTCTGGCCAGGGCTCAGGGGAGCGCAAACCACCATCCCCACCACCCGCCACCGCCATCTTCCCGCCGCCAACCAGGAAGTAGCTCCTACGCAACCGCAGCCCCACCCCACGCCACGCCAACGCCTGGCGCTGGGGAGCGCTAGGGCGCTGCGGGGTGTGACCTGCCATTGGGAGGAGGGGCCACGCGACGACCCCGCCCCTCAGCCGTCTGACGTCACGCACCGGAAGTGCCTTTCACGAGAGGAGGCGGTGCCTTTCTGCCCTCCACCATCTACTTCCGGGGCGCCGCTGTCAGCTGCCTCCTGCCGCTCACACTGTCCGCAGCTCGCGGGTCGTGCCCTGAGGCTGGAGGCGCCCGCACCTCTGCTGGTAAGCCCTTCTTGGGGCTGTTTGCCGCTGGGACGGTGTAGGCGCGGTGTCTAGTGGGCTCCTCACCTGCATCCGGGTCACCGGATGCTTCCGGCTGAGCGACGGTGGGCCGCAGAGCGGTGAGGGGCAGGCGCGGCCCACGGAATGCGGTGCTGTGACCTTCAGCGGTAGGAGGCGGTCCCGCGGGGCTGCCGAGGGTTCGGTGCTAGGCTAGGGCCGCGCCCGCCCGCTGAGGGCGGCGGTCTGACAGTTCTGGGCCGCTCTGTTCTCCGCGGCTGCCCTCGGTGTCCTGGCTGGAGGAAGGTTTGCAGCAGGTGGGTGCTAGGAGGAAAAGTGCTCGCGTGTGCTGAGTTTGGTGCTTGTCCTGCGTTTGGTGGTGGACTTTGTGTGTGCTCTCAGTTCTTTGAATCGTTCTTGGACTCCGGTTAGCTTTTTATTAGTACTTTTTCTGTTTTCAAGCGTTTGGTGAAAGCCTTAGATCTCTGATGTTATTGGTGTTGATGGCAATAAGGGCCTATGGTGTTTTTCCCAGGAGCTTTTGCTTCTGGGATAGCTGTATGTATGTGTGAGTAGAGGAGGAACCCTGCAGGGGCTGCCTTGATTTTCTTGCTCTCAGTTGCCTGAGCTCTGGCATACATATAAACATCAAGTCAGAGCTGGGGCTGATGATGGTTGTGAATATCACAGTTTATGGGGTCTTGCTGAAGTCCTTTCTTGTAGACACGTTTTTAATCCTGAGCTTTCATGTGGAGCTCTTTTGTTAGGCAGTTATTAATGCTGTACATGGAAGAATGTTAATACTTGATCCAACTTCTTACCTGCCTAAGCCATTGTTTCTCCAAAGGGTATGTTACTAATGTACAAATCAGACTGAGCTCTTCTTGCTAAGTATAAGTAATTAGGTTAGTTTTGTGTATTAACTTGATCTTGTCCATCCTGAGAAAAGGAGTGAGAGGGAAGAGCAAACTCTTTGTGGAGAGGGCTAAATTATGTTTTTTCTTCTCTTTTCCTAACACTAAGATGCAAATTGAGAACTGGACACTGCAATTCACGGTTTCTTCTTTTGACATTAGTGGAAATTCTGACTGGGGGAGCAATGAGCTGTATGCCTTTAAGCAGAAGTTAAGATAGTGAACTTTTCTCGTGCCGTGGTCATTAAGCACATGGTTTTCTCAAGTAACATTAGCTGTTAAGCTGTTGGCTTGCTTGCTTTTCTTGGCCTCCTGTGGCATGTGGCTTTTTTTGTGGCTTTTTTTTTCCCCCTTGTCTGTGTAATGGTTACTCTTATGGACTTAATTTTGACCTTATTGGTGATTTGCATTTTAACAGGAGCGTGTGGTGGCATTGATCAATATCCCAGCAGCTGGAATTAATAGAAAGTGTTTTTTTGAAGTGTTGCTTCAGTGTCTCTGCAGCTGAATTAATGCTTTGTCTCTCTCCATTTTGATTCGCAGTTGAGAAGTGCTAGATTGTACTCTCATAAAACACAAAGACCGTGGTTTACTTTTTAATCACAAGTTCTTCAGGTTGTCAAGATAGTCTGCTAGACTCCTCGTTACTTGGCTTTGGGGAATTAACATGGAGAGGCTTGTTTTGGCATCAGTTATTTCTGTGTAGTGTGGGAATAATTATTAGTACATATGAAATAAATCACAATATCTGATTAAAATCATGATTGTGTAAGTTGGTTGATCTAAAACAGTAAAATAAAACAAGATCGTGAAAGCTTACGCTTTCCCTTTCAGTCTGTAGTTATGAGTTACTTTGGCCATGGTTCCCTAACCCAAGGAATCCTCAATGTGGATATGAGCCTACGTGGACTTTCTTTTATCAAATTCCTAGTGCCTTGTTTGATTTAGGTTTGCTGTGTTCTGTTATATTCAGATAAATTGAAAACAAAGAATAATGGGAAAGCAGGACACTAGTATTCCTGTTGATGCATGTGCTTTTTCAGAAACCCAGGGAGGTTGAGAGGTTGTTTTGGGAGCTACTCTGCTGTGAACCATTTTATAGAATCCTGTGAAGTAAATAGGTGCTGTGGATATCTGGGACTTATGCAACTGTGATGACTTGTCTTTGTTTTCAATTTTTATTCCAGAAGAGTTGCCATTTCTGAAGATTCTTAATACCAGATTATCAACCGACTGCCCAATAACCATGAAAGAGACAAAATAGCTTCCCAGGCCTGAGACAAAAACTGATTTCAATGGATACAAAATATAAAGACGATTTATTTAGAAAGTATGTACAGTTCCATGAATGCAAACTGAGTGTCTCTGACAGCAAACAGCCTCCTATTAATGATGAATATTTGCGAGTGGCAGCATCAGCCTTATTTTGCCTTCCCAAAATTGATCCCTTTTATAGATTCCGGTTGATAAAATTTTATGAGATGGCTGAAAACTCACTGAGATCCCTGAAATCCTCAAGTTTACATTCTCTGCATAATGCATTCAGCATGCTTGAGACTCTTGGAATTAATCTCTTTCTATATCCCTGGAAGAAGGAGTTCAAACATATTAAGGTAAGACATTTATATTTGAAGACATAATTTTTTTTTTTTTTTTTAAACATGTCATGCATTTAGCTTATGACAACTTTTTTTTCTATATGTTAGAATGATTGATAATGTGGCTATATACAGCTGGTAAATAGAAACCACCAGAGGTGAAGTACATGAAGTGTGTGATGGTGAGACTGCCCAAAAGAAGTACAACTACTGTATCCATTTCTAAAGTAACCATAAAATACGGGAAGAGCTTATTTAAGGTTTTTGTTCGCCTTTTCTCCTAATGTGCTTAATTTCTACTTGGAGGTGCTTTAACATCAGTGAGTAATTAAATTGTGTTTAAGTTCATAGCCTTTTATTTTACATCCGCTATTACTGTAGCACAAGTACTAGTGATCAATGTGTGGTTTTAAGCAGGTGCTTTGCTGAGGTTCCCATAAGTTATGTGATGATGTTGAAGGATTCACTGAAATAGTTGCCTCTAGAATGTATTTTACTTGCTTGTAATTTTGAATCATGAAATTTTGATTCTAATGCACTTTCAAATTATTCATCTATACTATGACCTCACAGTGAAAAGTATAAACTTGTGTGTTGCTTGACTTGAGTACTGCAAGTCTGCTAATAAGATGTCTGCTGTCAGTTTTCAGTTTTATTTTTTGTTATCCCTATTTTCCTATTCAAAGCTGCTGTAGCATTTCAACAATAAGTGCTGCAGGTGACTTGAATGTTTCTGAGACTTGGGTAGAAACAACATTTCTGGTGTATGTCTGAAGTCTTTTGCAGGTTGTGTGTGCTAGTGATGGGCTTTCTTTTTTTTTTTTTTTTTTTTTTTTTTCTTAATGGACAGTATTTCGCAATTTAGCAGAGAGAATTTTAACGTGAATGGTGCATTTCATAGAATCATAGGGTGGTTTGGGTTAAAAGAGACCTTAAAGATCTAAAGTTCTAGCCTCCCTGCTACGGGCAGGGATGATTGAGAGTCTTTTTCCTAAGGGAAGACCATTACTTCATACTAGATCTCTCAGTGTATCCGTGTCACTACACTTAAGTTCTGGCCTACGGAATGCTTGCTGATCCATCCAGGATATCTCTAAGTGCACTGCTAATATTGGCTTTGGTTGTGTGCTGTGGATCCACTTCTTGTTCTGGACAAATATACAATGGCCAAGGCATTCCTCTCTGCAGTCAGAAGCAATTTGGCCTGTGTTAAGAGTATACTTCAGGTATGCCAGATGCCAAGGGAACTGCTACTTAAATAAAATCACAATTGTTTTGGGGCTTTGTTATTGGATGCTCTTGACCTAATACTAAAGAAAACAAGCATTGGAGTTGTGTAGTAATTGTACACGTTACTCTCCACAAAATAAAGTGCCCCTGAATGTAGCTAAATATGCATTGAAGAAGACTTAAGTGCTTTTGCAGTAATACCATCTTCCTGTTATATTCAGCTGCTTCTTGTCCACGAGGAATATATGAAATCTCTGCCTTTTTTTGCTTTAGCGTTAGACTTACAAACACATGTCTGGTGCGTATAAAAGTTAGTGTCATTGTACACAATAATGATTTAACCCAACAAGAAGGATACCATGCTAATCAGAACTTCAACTGGAATGAAAATTCTCCTATTTGGAACTTGCTTCAAGCAGAATTTCCATCTGCTGAAACAGGAGGGCTACAGAAATGGAGTTCATCTTACCGTGGGAGTTGCATGTCTTCTCTGTAATATTCTATTTAATTCTATAGTATCTGTCACTGAATTTTCTGAAAAATCTAGTCTTCCGCTGAATTTGTAACCTAGTTTTCCTTTTATTCCCCCCACCTCCTTAGACCTACACGGGACCCTTTGTATATTATGTAAAGTCTGCCCTCACTGAAGATGATGTAAGGCAGATTCTGAACTACATGGGCTATGTCCAAGAAGTGGGAACAATGTATAAGCTCAAAGAGCAGATTGATGCTATTCAAGTGAAAATGGTTTCATTTGAACTCTTTTTGGCCAAAGTGGAATGTGAGCAGCTTCTTGAAATTCATTTGCAAGTGAAAGATAAAGGCTATTTGGAGATCGATGTCATAAATGAACGAAAAAATAGCAACGAAGATACTAGAGGCTGCTCAGAAGCTATGAAACGGCGGGCAGAATGTAAAGAAAGCTTAAATACTTCCATGGCACGAATGGTACTTCAGAAATCAGCAAGTGAA